CTCAACATTCAAGAGCCACCCAGAGCTATGGAGTTCGGTTAACCCAGAACCAGACTTTTTATGTTTTACCTTTCTGTTTGTTACCTTGTTAAACCAGGCACATTGCATCTGATTCTGTGCAAGTTTGGAAAGTTTTCAGTTTCAGTCATTACCACGGCATATGGGAAGTTTCTTGTTTTCTTGAAATTGGAAAGATTATTTATAGATATCCACAGTGCTAATATAGTTTTGATATGAACTGGTCCTTTGAAAAATTTACATTTTTATAGAATTATGCATTTGGATTAGGAATGTTGTCAAGTATTTATTACCAACAAAGGTAATATATATAATAGAAGCTGGTATATATATGGTATTTTCTGTATCTGAATAACGGCATATTGTTTTACTGCATGTTGTTTTTGTTATCGACAGACAAATACCTGTTTACCATTGGTTTTGTTTGCTTCTTTTTTATAAATATTTACAAGAGTATATCAGCTTATGAATGTTTAGATATGTGCTATTGACAGTATAATCAACACTTGTGTTTATAGTATCTCCCCCAACATGTGAACGGACAAACTGTATACGTTTATGATGAAATGTACCATGCATTACTCACTGATGTTCAGCTGAAGATGAGGCTGTCATCTATCTATACTGCATGAAGTACACCTTCTGAATGTGAAGTAAACCTGAAGTGTTCTCTGTGTCAGGTCTTTGTGTCAACATAACCTGCATGGGTAAACTGACAATACAGAGCTACTATTCACTCAATAGTAACTTTTTATCATGTTTTTGTTGTCTTTTTCAAGCCTCAGGCTTGTCTATTTTCAAACAGTGACCACGATAGTTGGCTTGATGCTTTGACGTTTACATGTTTATAAGTTATGTCAAAAAACATATTTAGGGTGCTTTATCCTCAGACTATTAGAAAGTTACCATTGAATGAATATTAGCATCAAGTACATGGTGGATAGTCAAAGCAGAGTAGTACATAGCTCTGTGATTTCTCAGCTCATTCTGAGGTAAGTCATAACATTGTGCAAGATGGATTTGATTGCCTGTTGCTTTAGATCCCAGTTTGCAATATTATAGCTATATAGGTAAGGTTGACCCATAAATAATCCAGGCCAGGAATACCAGTGGTTGATAGTGTGTTGATCCATTGTTGTGATCAATATCTACTGTTGTTTCTGGATTTACAGAGTGAGTCAGTTGACTCATATTCCACCACGGCGGGCAGAGTTATGTCACCCCTAGAAGCAGCTGGACCAGAACAAAGTGTTAGCCTCATCTTTACTTGAGCATCCTCGGACGTGTTACTGTGATGGTGGAGTATGTAGTCATACCTGGTTTTGTTACCTTAGTCATATTCTATGATTATTATATGCTTCATATATACTGTAAGCATTTTGTTAGATAAAATATTGAATAAATATGAAATAGACTGTTGTGTTTTGTCTCTCTTCATCACACCCAGTGAATACAGTTTGTGTGTATATAACTATTGTGGCCAGTTTATGTTTTCATACGGATTATGAAGACACTGATGAACAAATATGAACTGTTACTGTTTGCAGAAAAGAAATGGGTCACTGTCTTTGCTCACAGTAACGTTTCCCACGTTTGCATTCACAACCTCTTGGCCACACCAGGATGTAGCAACCGGGTCCTGTTCTGTGTTGACTTCTGTGAAGATCAGGCTAGAACTGGTCTTCAAAAACCCATGCTTGTCGTAAGAGGAGACAAACAGGATCAGGTGGTCAGGCTTGCTGACTTGGTTCATACATGTCATCATATGCCAATTGCCTAGATTGATGCGCATGTTGATCACTGGATTGACTGGTCCAGACTCCATTATTTACAGACCAGTGCCCTACAGCTGGAATATTGCTAGTGTTAAACAACAACCAAATCCAAAACAACACCAGTTTCTTACTTGTGTGTGTGTGTGTGTGTGTGTGTGTGAAGATATTTGGGTCTGAACTCAGCAAGTCTTACCACTTGATCCCATTAATGGAATCTTATAACAGCGTTCGAAATACCAGCCTGTCCGACAACCCGGGACGGCTTATTTTCAACACGGACTGCCAGATTTTCAAATTCACCTGCCTGACGGTCAGGTTAAAATTAAACATGTATATGAAGATATTCAACATATTTCAGGATAATAAAACATGGTGAAGTGATAACATGACTTCAAACATTAAACACAAATCTGAAATAAACAGTTAATTCTTTTCTTGCATTGGTATTAGTTTTTTCAATATTTTACAAGTTTTAAATTTAATAATGCTAAGTAAATTAGTATATTTTGTGGGTAGGTAAATTTTACTTCTAGCCAGCCCTGAGGTCTGGCTGAAATTTTTGGGAGTTTCATACCCCACTTATAACAAGCCCTTGGTTTCCGAAGACCACTTCAAACTTGGGTCTTCATTTGTCTATGTGTATGGCAAGCATTTGAACTTTTTTAACAATATTGGTAGCAGTGGTGGATATGATTGATGACACACATAATCAACCAATCGTGCCTCCACTGGAACCAAAGCAAACAATACTCTTTGAGATGTGTAGTACAATCTTTTACCCATGAGGTCAACGTATTGGTAGTATTGGTAGTTGCATACTAATCGTGTCGTATCGCGTTGACCTGTGTCGTAACGACTTGACCTGAGATTCTAACGATTTGATTGGATAACCGATGACCTCTCAATTAGGTCACATTCTGACGTAACTATTTTTCATTCATAACAAACACGTGAATTCATTCATTCTACAACTTAAATGCATTGTGGGAATGTAAACATTGAGAACGTTGTCGTGTCGCAGTTTAATTGTGAGTCGAACTGAGACATTATATCCGTCGAAAAACATAAATGCAATGTTTCCACTAGTGATGTTAGCCGAATGAAGCAACTGGAAACCAAGAAACGAAGTGCTACAGAGTAGTTTACTGTTGGAGGCTGTACGAGGCGATGACAACTGACATGCATCGTGGACGCCGGGTTACCAAGGCAATGACGTCATTACAGTGTGACGTCATGCAAATATAGTACTACAGTACAAAACTCTTCCGCAACCTCTTTATGAAACCGGTTTCGGGTTTGAAACCAAAAATATAACAAAAATGCGCTATTTTGTCAACTTAATGCATGTAAGACGTGGGTAATAAATAAAATACCATTTTCGGTCTCATTACATACTATCTGAATCGTACCTTCATATGACCTTCAGATACCATAGGAAGGATACTCGTTTTGTATAATTCATATGTAATGAGTGTAGTATTCTCTATTCACGTGTGTACTTCTGATCTCATAACCTTGACCTTCTTATAACAGATCCTGAAATAATTCTCCCTGACCATTTGGTAGAAGATCATTGTTAAATATTTTAATATGTTTACTTTGACACTACTGTTGCAAATTCCAGAGAAAACTTGGTTGAACTAATAATTGTTATAATGAAACTCCACCACTGTTATAAAAATTCTCTTCCTGATCACTAGTGACTAATCTATCCAACAGTCATTATCAAGACTGAGTGACTGAGTTTGGTTTTACGCCGCTTTTAGCAATATTCCAGCAACATCACGGCAGGGGGCACCAGAAAATGGGCTTCACACATTGTACCCATGTGGGGATTCAACTTTCAAAGCTTTAACCACTAGGCTACCCCACAATCAAGATGACCATCACTGGAACAAAACACTGAACTTCCTTAAAGATGTATTTTCTATAATGTTTGGTATGTTGTTCAATGAACACTTCATCACACATCTTAATGAATTATGTATGTCATGCAATGCTAAATGCTAGAGACATATGGAATAATGCAGAGAATAAATGCTTTCTACTAAACAAAACACTGTTTTTGTTTTGAAACAATGCAAAAGGTTGGTGAAAAACAGATTGTACATGAATACTAACTATGATGATATTCATTCTGTATACTTCATTATTTACGATGTGTGGAAAATCGGGTCAAGATATGCATTGTCTGTCCTCTGCATGTGAGTGAGTTTAATTTTAAGCCGCACCCAGCAATATGGCGGCAGTCATTAAAAAATCAAGTCTGGACCAGATAAACCAGTGATCAACAGCATGAGCATCGATCTATGCAATTGGGATACGATGACATGTGTCAGCCAAGTCAGCGAGCCTGATGACCTCCCGATCCTGGAAATCGCCTCTTCCGACAAGCATGGGTTACTGAAGATCAATTCTAACCGGATCTTCATGGGTCACCTTTGCATGGGATACTGAAGATCAATCCTGGTTTGACCAGGTCTTCAGGTTGAATTGTCATCAGAGGTGACTAGGTGAGATTCAGGTGCTCACTATGTGTGGATGAATGAGTTTAGTTTTACGTCGCTTTTGGCAATATTCCAGCAATATCACAGCAGGGGACACCAGAAATGGACTTCACACGTACCCATATTAGGAACTAAACCGGGTATTTGGTGTGACGAGCGAACGCTTTAACCACTGCCCCCATGTGTGACTATCTTGTTCCACTGCACACAAGTGTCAGAGATTGTTGTTGATGTCAGCTGTGTTCGTTGTGTTCTAGGGTCATATATTATGAGGTGAGGTGAGGTGAAATTGGGTTTAACGTTGTGCTTGAGAATATTTCGCTCATATGATGACGTGCATGTTTGTGTACTTGTATGTGCGGCTGCTTGTACTAGCCCAGACTTAAGCTGGTTTTATAGTGCTAGCTCACTGAGATACCACGCGCAGTGAAGCATGAATACCCCACTCAGACACAGTATACTGACTCCGAGCCGACCAGTCCTTGTTGTACCCATTAATGCCGAGCGCAAGGCAGGGACCAACAAGTCCATATTTTAACGCTCTTTTGGTATGATATTGACTTCCGCTCCGGCGACACTCTCACCACTACACCACGGAGGCGGCCTCATATATTATGAGTAATGTCCAACAGTAACTGCTCAACTAAGTCGCCAAGTCTGACGACCGATCTGTAACATCGTCTCTTATAACAAAAATGGGTTGTTGAGGACCCACTTTAATTTGTAGTCACACAAGGTTATTTACAGGCTGTTTTAATACTGCTTGAATATTGCTGGCTGACTCATATATCTATCATATATCTATTTATTGTGTCACTTATTTTTCAAAACATCGGTCCACTGAGATTTATCCAGGGACAGCCATTTAGCTTTCATCTCTGCAAGAAGTTCCCGATCAGGCACATACTTCACATCTTCTGCTGGGTGCTGCACCATCGAGTGCTTACGAACATTGCCGCCAGTCATACTCTTGTACGAGCAATACACACATGAATAGGGCTTCACGCCCTTATAGTAGTGCGCGATCATCAGATGTTTCCTCATATGGTCCAGTGTCTTCGTTGTATGCTGACAAAAGTTACAATGCAGATCCGACTCTTTGTGTGTTGAGTTTCGGTGGCTGCTTAAATTATTTGGAGTTCGGAATATTTTACCACAGATTTCACAAGCAAAGTTTTTTTCTGTGACATGTATTTTTTTGTGTGCTGTGAGTGTTCCTTGCCAGAGGGTGATGAAGTCACATTCGTCACACTGCAAACATTTCCTTTTGTCATCTTTTAGCCCATGGACCTTCCACAAGTGATCTGAGAAGAGGAAATACTTCATGTAATTCTCAAAGATGCAAAGAATTTAAAGTCTTGTGACAGTAAGGATTACCGCCTGTGATCAAAACTGCTTTCTTTAGCCATCTTTTGTTTTGTTTTCTTGTTAAAACCCATATTTCAGCATTTATTGGAAAACTTAGTTTAGTCTAGCTCTCTCTCTCACCATCCATGGAGTATTGAGATCTGTAGTTGTTCCCACACACGTGGCACTTGAACAGCGGGCCGTCGGAATGGTTGGTGGTCGTGTGCAGTTTCAGGTCAGAGGGTGTGGCTGTGAAGTAGCCACAGATCTCACACTGGTAGCGCTGGCTGTTGATATGGTGGTACATGTGATTCTTGAGTGCTCTGGAAACAAAAGTAAGACTGATCACACACCATCAACCTTATTTCCATAAAAAAAACACACACAAAAAACAACAACTTATGCTTATGTTTTATTTGTGAATATATTTCACAAGCAAAAATATTTGTAAAATTAAACATTTATACAAATTCTCAAATTGATCACTCATAGCTGATTGCATGAATAATTTATCCCTCTTCTGGATTCTAACATGAAGATCTGCACATTTCCTGTCAACTCATGTTGCCTGTATTTTTTTGACTTTTACAAAAATCAGGGTAAGTGTATGCTCCCCAGGGAGTTGAGATTGACAATACGATGGGCCGTTGAGATTGACATCCAGTGAACGAGGGAAAAACAAAGCGCCTTTGAGCAGCTGAGCGGAGCTGGATATCGGCGCTATACAAATGTATATATGATGATGATGATGAAGTGTATTCATAAAACAAAACCCTGACAGACATACTTCCTGGTCTTGTACTTTTTGTCACATTGGTCACATGCATAGCTGAACGTGTTGCCATGACCCTTCCTGTGTTCCCCCATGGTGGCAGGGGATTGGGCGGCGCAGTAGAAGTGACAGCCTTCTGCTTCACACACCAACACCTGCAACAACAACATCATCATCAACTGTGTAAGGTCATCTGTCTCTCACCACAATGACCTGTATCTGACACTTCCACATTCTAACTAATCTTAGGATATCAGTTCATGAAAATCACATGGAGTTGAAATTCTAATGACATATATTTAGCTAATGATGACTTTGAGTTATCAAACTTAACATTACAGCAAATTTGTAACCATTATGAGAAGGAAGCAGCATTCTGCATTCAACTAGCATCTGGGAAATACAAGTTTATTGGTGAGGTGGGGCTGTCTGATGATTTGCAAACCATGAAACCGATTCTGGACTAATGGGGTTTCACTATATATAAACAATTTTAAAACTGTAACAATTATTAGTCTTATTATCATCGTAATGCCAGAAACAGATAAAACAATAAATAATTTGTGATTATTATTATATCATCATTACCATAACCCTACATTAGATTATTTTAGGGAAAAACAATAACCTTATCAACAGTCCCATCAAAATAATGTCTTTCTTGTGCACATAACTATAGCCATTTATTATTACTTTGCACCGTCACTACTTTTGAGATATCTTATTCAATATGTTCCTAGATCATCAATACATACGGCATCCTTGTATAAGCTCTTCACCAACAAATCATGACTAACAACTATGATGAGGGCTATGCAAGTAATGCAGATCCTGTTAACGTGATTCATGAATTCTGAACATCTGAACACTGTTAATAAGGCCAGACCAAGTTTATTTCTTGTTTTACGGATCCACTGGTCATAGTTTTTCAAGAATAAGAAAAAAAAAGAAAAAAAAATTCCCGCTCAAAAGATAAAATCCTCATGTTTTCATTGGCCAAAAATGTAAACTTACAAAAAAAAAATTTTTGATTGTTTTTTGCCTCATATATACTTCATAAATTGCCAAATGTAAAAAACTTTTAGTATTTAAAAGGAATATTACTTTCACTGGTGATTTTTATCCCTCCTGCCTTTAGGTTTTCTGAGGACAAAAATCCGTAAAACAAGAAATAAAATTGGTCTGGCCTAATAAAGGAAAAAAAGAAAGTGTAACTATATAGATAAACTGTTTAGCTCCGTTAATGACCTCAGACCAAAAATGGCACATGCTAAAGAACTCCTAGTGTCATACTGACCATAATATTCGATGTTGAAGAACTCCAGGAACCACTGTTCCATTACTACTTCCAGCATTACAGTGACCAAAATGATTAGGAAATTAAGAATAGAAATTGATCTAGCCTAACTATAAGGATATTATCTTTCTTCACCTCTCTATGGTGTACTCCATGTACAATCTGGTCGTGACTGAGAAGACCCACGCGGTTATGGCAGTCTCGACCACACTTCTCGCAGCTGTACTTCCCCGACTCCCGCCACAGATGTTGCCGCTTCAGATGTTGGATCATAGCCCTGTGGTCCACGGACTTGTTGAAGCACAGCGGACACACATGGGCCTCCTCTGGGTGGTCCAACTTTCTGTGGGTCACCACATCACTTATCTGACCTTCAAACCCACACAGGCTGCAGATACTGTTCTTGTTCCAACGAATCTGGGGATAACAAACATCCAGATTTAAAGGAGGATGATAGAAAATTGCAATAACTGACTGGGTTAAAGATAAAGTTATGAGAAAAATGTACCCCAATTTTTAATGCAAAAGTCTTAGTATTTATATATTAATTGCGAATGGCATCAGCCATTATGATTCTTCCGCCAGCGGTCACGTGACCTTTTACACTAGTGACGTCAAATGTTGGTCATAATGCGTAATGTTTTTAGCGCTTTTTTCTGTCATTTTCGTAAGTGGTGAGATGGGTTATTGTGTTGCAGTGGGGTTGCACGGCATCACCGAACAATGGAAATAGGCACCACGGACAAGGTAAATAGTTTTGGCGGCAGTTTTCGATCAACATAACCGTTACTGTAGAACATTGATTTGGTAGGAAAATAATTAATGTTCATTTCGTATTATTCCATGTACACTACATCATTACACGTTACAACTTACTTAAGTCCGACTGTGATTAAATATATATTATCAAAATCAGTAAGGGATTTCCCATGAGCTTGAACATGTTTCACTATAATGTACATTCTGGTTTGGAACCCCAAATACCGTTGTCTACCGGAAAAAAAACAACATTATCTGTAAATACAACGGCAAAGGATAAAGTACCTTTTCACACCATGGGAACGGCAGGAAATATTTCATAGCAGGAAGTGAATGATTTATCACGTGTGAGGTGACCACGTTTTAGTTTTTAGGTGTAGGAAAATATCTGTATGTTTATAGGCCACATCGTCCCCAAAGTTTATACTGTAAAATAGAATTCCACCCAATATCTTTCCATTCCATCATTATACTAGCCCATGAGCCTGTTAAACAATGTCTAGCATCGGCTACGTTTCCATAAAGATTCATAAAGTTATCAAAGTTTAAGGTATCATTGCTGTATAAACGAAAAACAAAATACACCCACATTTAGAGTAATTATCGAACTATCTTTGTGCCAAAGCTGAATGCTTAGTGTCATGCTGTTTTTGAGCTTTCATCCACGAAAGACTGACACCATCAAACTCTTAGTGAATGATGATTTAAGAACCCATGACAATGGGTCATGGTGAGGAATTTCATTTTCTGTTGGTGAACGATTTACAGTCAGCCTAAACTCATCCAATTTGCTATAAAGTATTACCACTAACTATCAAGTATTCTGTTCTTCAGATGTGGTGTTTAAACAATGGAAATGTCACCGTATCAGTGCTACTACTGTCCTGAACATTTTCAAGACTTCAGTGGGGTGAAATATCGCTGTATTGACATAAACAGGGAGAAGACAATTATTATTAAAAAATTATGTTTATGTGACATAACAGGTAAACTTTAATACGTACAAAAAGATTTCAAATATGTGTCAAATGAAACTGATAGAGAAGTTGTTGTCTCTGGGGACTCTGAAAAACTCAGTTTAGTATCAATTGATGAAGAATCCCCATGTCCACCAAAGAAAGAAAAGATAGATGATGAACTGATGAATGAAAAAGTCAGTTGCAACAGACTAGAGATGGGACAGGATCCAAATTTTCTACTCACTGGGTACCCCACCCCCTATTACCCTACCCGAATACCTGTTAGGTTAATTCCTGATATCAAATTTGTAAGAAATGGCAATAAGCCAGCTCGGAGGTTAAAAGTTTGAGTTTTTCAATACCTTAGCCACGTATTATATTCCAAAGAAGTAGTGTAATTATTTCTGTATCTTCAAAGACAATACAACCTTTCATCATGAAAGAATAAGACATTACATTGTTTAATCTATTAGTCACATGATCATAGCGGGTCTGGGTATTGAGACGGGTACCTGGATCCAACTCATTACCCACCCGTCCCGGGTATCTCATCCCAGCCCCACAACAGACATAGCAACACAAATGATCAACTTCAAATGTTAAGTGACATGCTACCATCAGTGCTGTCAGAATTACAACAACATGGCTTGTCAGATCTTTTTGTTACATTCAACACCTTAAAAGTTAAAGTTTCCTCTCAAGAACATTGCCTTTCTTCTTTTTATGGATGTTGCAGCATTTTACAGCTCAAGATCAGCCTGCCAGATGCGTCACAGTGTCAAATATTATTCTGGTTAGCTGCGTGCAGGCTTTTCCATGAAAAATTTCTTCAATTCATGGGTGGGACTAAAGGTAAAGGTTTAGACATGTTGTCTTCAGAAAGACAAGCATCTCTGAACCCACTTGACTCAAACATAAACTTTGTGGTCCCGGATATTAAAACTCTGGAAAGTACAAGCAAAAACATCTTGGCAAATGAGATTAGACCAGGGATTCTTGTAGATTCTCTGGATATTTTACAGAAAGAGCATGCTGATGAGAAGAAACCTTCAATGAAGATTTGTTTTGATGGGAAAAGAGAAACAGTTGCCTCTCTGAACACCATGGAGATGTGGATCTGTTTGAATGTGAACCGTCAGCCACAATTAATGAAGGGAAAAGAAGAATCGAAGAGAACAATATGACGTAAAGAGTGATCAACGATTGTCAGCAAACAAGTGACGTTTGTCCAAAGGACCTCTTATCTGACATTCTTGAAATAATGTGTCTTTTGAGTCACAGGAAATGCTAGTTACAAAGGAACAGTGTCTAGAGAAATTTAAAACTCTTGGCAAACCAGACAGGAAGAAATCGAAGTATCAATTTGTGATAAGCAGTGCAGAAACCTCAGTCTATCAAATGAAAGAGTGCATCAACAACTGCCTTGAAACTATAATTAGTTAGGACACGCCTGCACTGAAATGCAAAATAAAGCCTGTTTGTATTGTCACAAGAATGAAGTACACCTGAGTACACAGGAAAATTTTGTTTGAATTAAAAGTGAAACAAGAGAAGTGAAAGATGGAATTCAGCAGCACATCATCAAACAGAGAGTGAAAAAGTGGTTCAAGATCAGAGAAAAAGGCAAAGTTATAGGGAGTTCTGTCTATCGTGCCATTGGACTAGACTCCCTGCAGTCTCAGATTGAACAGTTTGTTAGTGTTTTTAACAAAAAAAAGCAGAAGCCAGCAAGTTCTGTGGATAAAAACTGCATGGAGTATGGTACAAACCATGAGATTGGTGCAGTGGCTACCATATTAACAGGACAAGTGTTTCCTATCTATTCTCCAGAACTGATGTTTCATGAGAAAGGATGTTTTGATTTACAGCATGAAAGGTACCAGTCTGTACATAGTTCATCCTGACGGCTCAGGTAGAGCTCACCCAGATGGTACTCCAGTCATTGGAATAGAGATAAAGTGTCCGTTTCTGGACAAGAAGTACTCAACTCAACAAATGTGTACCATATCCGTGTACTACTCTACACAGCTCTTGTGTGAAATGGTTGCCCTTACTTACAGCTTCTATTCGTTTGTTACACTTAAGAAAACTCAACCTTTATCAGAGCCACGTTTTCACAGGGCCTTGTGTGGCAGCAAATAATCTTGCTCTATGGAAATCAGTGTCCCAAACGACCAACACAGAGAAATGCAATTGCAGACAAACTGAAAAATTCCCTTAAAGAGTACCTAAAGGCAAATGTTCAGTTTCTATGTGAGATACCATCATGTCTTGCTAATCCAGGTACCCATGAACCGCACATTGGATCACCCATCTACTGCAACCGTATTTCTTGTACCTATGGGAGGAAAATGGGAGTTAAGTGCAAAAATGTTGATCAAATACTTTTCAAGTCACTATCTTGCTTTCGCTAAGCTGTAAGTCTCTGTCGGCATAAAGCAACCAAATCGTTCCTCTTTCTGATCAGTGATATGGATCGTAACCACAAGGCTTCAGTACCCCATTTTTTTCAAATTGCATATGGACTACAAGACCCAAGTCTGTCCACTTTATTTGTTCAAAATGTTCAAAACAGTGCTAGATGCATGTTTTGAAAGAAATATTGATGTCAAAACCTTCTCATGTGATGGACAATGGATCCAAATTCTGCACACAGATCCTGACTGAAAAACCCTCACTGACATTCAAAAACAGAAAAGGTTTTGGGAATATATCAGGACCTTTCCTAAATGGAAGCTGGTTAGCTCCTTTGAGGACTATAATGCCCTTCCTCATCTTCCAATGTTTGAAGAAGCTGTCCAAACTGCAAGGAAATTAATCCAAGGGCTTACAATAACCATTGAGCCAACTGAGAACAAAGTGTTTTTTCAGATGAAAGAAAGACACATGAAAGCTCTGATATCGAATCCTAAAGAGTGTCCAGAGGGATCGGAATAATCCGAGAAACTAGATCACGCATTACAGCTCTTGCCAAGTGATCTATCTGAAAAGGTACACAGCAGCACCTTTACTGAAATTGTAGGTGTCATCAAGGCATTGGTGAGACAGGATCTGAGGACAATGGTGAGGTGAAATTGGGTTTTACGTCGTGCTTGAGAATATTTCGCTCATATGACGACGTACATGCGTGTGTATGTGTATGTGTGGCTGCTTGTACTAGCCCAGACTTAAGCTGGTTTTATAGTGCTAGCCCACGGAGATACCACGCCGCAGTGAAGCATGAATACCCCACTCAGACACATTATACTGACTCCGAGCCGACCAGTCCTTGTTGTACCCATTAATGCCGAGCGCCAGGCAGGGACCAACAAGTACCATATTTTAACGTCTTTTGGTATGACGCGGTCGAGGATCGAACCCACAACCTTCCGCTCTCCAGGCGGACACTCTAACCACTACACCACGGAGGTGGACCCTGAGGACAAAGAGAAAACATAGATGAGGAAGATGACCACCAGGATGTGGATGACTCAGCGCCAACGTGACCTAGCACCAAGTGGCAGCATCAGTTGTATGATCCCAACTGATGTTGACATCTGATGAACGAGGGCCAATAAAGCGCCAGTGGATACATCCCCTTGGATATTAGGCGTTATGCAAATGATTATCATTATCGTTCGTCTCTTCTCTAAGAGTCACCCTGCCTTTATCACTGTCAAATTATCCTTTCTGTCTTTCTTTATATCGTATGAAGCATAT